TATACACCAAGTATAATAAAAATATATTTTGGTATTACTTTCATTTGATTGATCAGATATAACTTATCTGATTTGTTTATTTATTTTTATTTCAAATTTCCAAGGTATCACAACGTAGGCCGCCACATATGTGCTGTGTCACTCCATGTGAGCGCCACATCAACAAGTAACCAATTGACCGTCATGTTACATGCTAAAAATCAGTTTTGACGAAAATTACATAGTAGGAGGGTTGTATTGATTTTTCGTACAGAGTACGAGGGCCAATGTAACTCTTTTCTCGAAAAACAAATAAACACTATGTCTATCTTTATCTTAAGTATTGGTTATGAATTATTTTGTTTGTTTTTACACATATTCTATATTTTGAGTTTTTTTCACATTAATGTTAAAAAATAAAATATATACAAAATTAGTGTGTAGTTAAAACTATTTACGAAACTCCTGCTCAAATAAACCGTGGTAGGAAAGAGTCGCCAAACAAAAGGGCGACTCATGCCTATGCTGCATGCGGAAAAGACTTACGCTGCACAACAGGACAAGAGGGGATTGTGGGGGGTGAGACCTAAGTTAAAAAAAAACCTCTTTTTCTTTAAAGTGCTATATCTTTTACAATTTTGCTCCAATATTTTTAAATGAAAGAATGGCAAGAATATTAGTTAGGGAGTTTGCATAGACCAAAATATAGCCACTTTGCAATTGGACAAAAATCAGACCTTTTAAAATATTTCCCAGCCCATCAGATCTCATCGATCGCTCTTCCCACCCGCACGCAGACTCTTCTTCATCTCTTCGCACGCTTCCTTCTTCGACGGGGTCATCCTCTCCGGCACATCAATTCGTCATTCCTCCTCCAATCCGGCGCTCCTCTTCGCACAATCAGCGACGACTACCAAGCCACCACCTTTGATTCTCCTTTTTCTCCTTTCTGATTTCAAATCGAATTTGGGGATTTTCGTTGTTATTTTTAGATTTGAGTTTCAGATCGAGTTTGATTGGGGCGAGGCTGAAAGGTGGTGTGCGGCGTTGTTGGTGTGGGGCTGGAGTGTGTCGTTGGTGATCGGGGGATGGGGGAGGGTGTTGTAGGGCTGGGGAGATGAGATGAGTGAGCAGGGGATCAGGATGGGGGCTTGGGGGATGGGGATGGTTGGGGTTATGGAGGTTGGGGAGTCAAGCCAGCGGCCGGCGGTGGCGGCGGCGACCTGCGGTGATGGTCAACCACGGGGCTGGCAGTGGTGGTGGGGCAGTGGGCGGTGGTGGACTGTGTTAAAGTTGGATGTGGAGTCAAATGAGAAGGGTGGCACTGCTGGCCGGCGGCGGGCGGCGGCAACCTCTGTGTTGGCCTGCAGAGGCGGAGGTGGTTTTCTGAATTGGTAGATGTGGAGGTGTCACCGCGGAGATGTCACCTTGAATGTGTCACTGTGGCGGTGTCACTGTGGTTGGCAGCGGTGACCGGTGGCGGCAGTGACACCAGCGGTGGCCGTAGTGACACGGGCGGTGGCTGTAGTGACACGGGCGGTGGCCGCAGTGACACGGGCGGTGGCCACAGTGACACGGGCGGGTAGCGGCAGTGACACGGGCGGGTAGCGGCAGTGACACGAGCGGTGGTGGCAGTGACACTTGATAAAACACGATAGTGACATTTAAATTTGGGAATGACATTAATATGCCCTTCTTGATCACTTTTTTGCCTCTTTTTAAAAGTGGTCACTTATTTGATAATTGGTTCAAAATTAGTAATATTGAGGACATAATCCCTTTTTAAAAATTATACCAAAGTTCATAATTTTTTACGATCTTTCATATGACACCAATATTGGATATATAAAAATTAAAAAAATCTGAAGCCCATATGGGGGTGAAAAGGCTGGTTGCAACCATGCTCCGTCAATAAACTTAATTCTAAATCTTTTTTTATAAAAATTTGTTCAAATGTTGTTAGATTTAAATCCAAAAGTTTTCATACGACAATCTTTTTCTTCCATTTCTAAATCCACGTCTGGTAGATTTTCTGAATTTTCGGTATGAAACGGTATGGATTGTATACCATGCTGAAGTTTCGGTATACAGAAATTCAGTATACCAATATGTCCGGTACGACAACGGTATAACATTTACAAATACCGGCATTTCGGTACGTTATGCGGTATGGCGTAGAAAATTCGGTATACCTTACCGAACCAGCCCTAGGCTGGTTGCAACCATGCTCCGCTAATAAACTTAATTCTAAACCAATATTTTTTATAAAAATCTGTTCAAATGGTTGGGAAATTAAAATCCAATTTTTTCATAAAAATCCACTTTCAAAAATTAAGATTTCAAGCTTATTTATACAACTTTTAGATGATTTGTTTTTCAAAAATGTAAAATATATCTTTTAGAATTTTGCTCCAAATATCTTAAAAAATATACTAAATTTCATAATTTTTTATAAACTTTCATGTGACACTAATATTACATATATAAAGTTTAAAAAAACTGGAGACAATATGGGTGCAAAGAGCAGCTGTCACCATGCTCCCTCAATAAACATTCTAGATTATATGAAAAATAATACTCACTCAATCTTGTTTTTCCATACAATCTAGCGCCTCACCATATATAGTTTTTATCTTATTTCAGATGAAAAAATGTCTAAAAAGATGTAAAAACAAATATGAGATCTTAATTTTTAAACTTGAATCTATTTATGAAAGATTTTGAACATAAGTCTACTAATTATATTTTCCTATTTTGGTTAAAAAAAAATATTGATTTAGAATTAAATTTATTGACGGAGCATGTTGCAACCGGCCTTTTCACCCCATATGAGCTTCAGATTTTTTTAATTTTTATATATCCAAAATTGGTGTCATATGAAAGATCGTAAAAAGTTATGAAATTTGGTATAATTTTTAAAAATATTGGAGTAAAATTGTAAAAGATATAGCACTTTAAAGAAAAAGAGGTTTTTTTACTTAGGTCCCACCCCCCACAATCTCGTCTTGTGCAGCGTAACTCTTTCCCGCGTAGGCATGAGTCGTCATTTAGAGCCCGTTTGGTAGCATGAAAATCGGCTGTTTTGGCTGATTCTTCTGAAATTTATGAAATTCTGGCTGAAGTGGCTGTTTTGGCTGATTCTGCTGATTCAAGAAAAAAATATTTTAAAAATATATTTTATTAATAAATTATAGAAAAAATTACATGTAAAAATAGCTAAAATAGTTCTCTACAGTAACTTCAGCCAATACAGCCAGAAAAGTAACTCCAACCTTACTTTTTCTGCTTATTACACAATTCAGCACACAAAAGTAAAAGTTACGTGTTTGGTGAAAAAGCTGGCTGATAAGCCTGATAAGCCGAAAAAAGAGGTCTCCAAACGGGCTCTTAGTTTGGAGACTCTTTCCTACCATGGTTAATTTGAGCAGTAGTTTCGTAAATAGTTTTAACTACACACTAATTTCGTAAATACTTTATTTTTTAGCATTAATGTGAAAAAAAAACTCCTATATTTTTAAATAGCATTTCCACCCGTGTGATAGCGTAAAAAATAAATATTTTTACATATTTAAGATTTTTTTGTGGCAATCACCTCTATTTGCCCCTCTTTTTGTTTGCCACTTGAGGGATGGATTAGACAAAATATTCCTATTTTAGGATGATTTAAATTAAAACATCTAATGTCCATTAAATAGTTGTACCACACCTACTCCTTTCGAAAGAAATGGAGCAAATGGCGGTAAAACTATCTACACAACACAGTGACACACACACACATAAACTCATGATTTACCCCCTTGCAATTCTAAAATATAGTACTACTTCCATCCCTAATAAAACTTCCAAATGGGTTGGGCACACAATTTAAGATAGTTGGTATTGTGTGGTGCAGAGTTGTGCAGAAGAGAGAAATATGTAAGAAATGTTGTGAACAGACGAAAGTGGAAGTTTTAATTGGGACAGACGAAACAGGAAAGTTGAAAGTTTATTTAGGGACAGAGGGAATACTACGTATAATATAATATTGTTAATGGCGAGCCTAACGGTCTCTTTATATATCTCTAGTATATATTTTACACTTGTGTTGCATGAGAATACATCAATCAATATTAATAGTGGTGGTAATTTTTAAAAATGAGAATCAAAATCTAAATTTAGTGATGCGTATGTGTATATAAACTAAAATAGAGGTAGTGTAAACAATAATGTAATATAACCAACCATTCCAGCCCAGCTGGTTGTGAGGTTATTGTGCCTAATGGGAGGTTTCGAGTTCGAATCACGCTAGGTACATAAGGGCTTGAAACTCTATGGAGTGAGTTTCAACCCAGATTACTCTAGGTTCCCCCAGTCCCCCTCCTCCAGACCCCCTGGAGTAAAAAAAAACAATAATGTAATATTTTATATTTCAATTAAATAATCACAATTTTAGTGGTCGTGAATATGTTCAATTTTAAACTGTAATGACCGTGAAGATATAAATACAATAATTTTACACACATTTAAGTCCATAAAACATTTTCAATGTTATTTTAGGAAATACCTCATAAACAAAACTAACCTAACATAATTTTAAATTGTTATAAACCTTGTTTGGATTGTTAGGGAGCTCATTGTGACACCGCACCCGGATGTACTTGAGTTTGAAATTCAATATGTATTTGAATTTTCTATGTGAATATTGATGTGTGCAAGAACGACATATTTAATTAATGAAGGATTAATGAAGTTATTTATCAGGATCATGATACTGAGAGCGGACTACCAAATAATTAGTTGGGTCATCATAATAATTATAGGAGCCCAATAAAATGTCAACTAAGGTTGAGAAAAATGTTTAGGCAACCCAAATATTAATTTGACTCAACCTGCCAAAAATAGCTGGAATAATTGGGAGAACTTCCTACACCCATTTGGGAATTTCCTACACACTTTGTAGAGTCTAAATAAGTCAAATTTAGACAACTTAAGAGAATTGGTGCGGATGAATGATGGAGGAAGCCTCCTAGGGACAAAACATACTCAACATGGCCCCATACTCAAATTATTTTGAGTATTGATTGAGAGGAGATGCCTCACCCTTTCCCATTCATTTCATTCGGCCATATCAAGGGAAGAAGCTCCAGGAAAGTCTTCTCTCACTTAGTCCATGGTTGAAGGAAGCAAGAAGAGAGGAAAGTCCAAGAAGAAAAGCTAGGAGAAGAGGTAAGAACACACCAATATTCTTTTAACTAGTATTATTTTGTATGATTTTTAATAAATTATATGGTGGATTAAACCATGAGTTCTACACATTTAAAAGTGTATTATATCGATATAAAGTGGTGGTATTTAACTTAGAAGAGTCGTGGAATCGATAGGAGTTGAAATCGCCGGAAACCGCCATTGTTGGGGACTGTTTTCGAGCTGCAGGCCCGAAAGCCGCCCACCTTTTGCAAAAGCCGCCCGGCTTTTGTCTGCTGTCCAGAATTTTCACTTTCAATTGGCCTAGAACGGGGATTGATCGAAGGGCTTAGCAAAGGCAACTAGTTGAGCACATCATAAGGTGAGGATGGCTGACTATATTGTTTATAACTAGTGGGTTAATTCATGAGATTACCTAATGTTATAAAAGCATGATTTTAATTAACTAATATGCCAAGTAAAGTGTCAATTGATCATATTGTTGTATATGAAGAGTTGATGCATGATTGATTGGGGTATGAGTAATTGGAGCATGATTACTTGATATGTTTGAGAAGTTGTTCTAGTTGATTTAGTGATGAACTAATAAAATGTTTTTATTAATCACTATTTAATTATATTGATTTTATGGTTAGTAAAGTCAATATAGAATGGAGTGAGAATGAGTTATGGCATGGCCGCCACGTTTGTTTAAAAGGGAAAGAGAATTTGAACTAAGAATAACTCGGGTGATACTAAGTGACTAGTCCGAGGTTATAATATGAACATTTATAAATTAATCCTAAGTTTAGGATTGTGATGCTTCGTCACTAGGGTATTCAATTGGGATAGCCTTAGATGATTTAAATGGTATAATTATCCTAGGATTGGATCGTTGATATTATTATCCGGGTGGTCTTTAGGATACCCGTAATTGATTGTTTGATTGGTAGCAAGGGTCATGGCTCGGCTCTAGTCTAAGGATAGATGCCCGACCCCATGAACTTGCTAATACAGATAGATGAGGGTCATGGGTCGGACGAGTCTGAGGATCGTGCCGGACTGCATGGGCCCACAATAGGATAGATGTAAGGACCATGGCCCTACTTGGCTCTAGAGAGCGAGATGGATAGCATGGACTTACAGCGTGATCACGTATAAGGGTGGAATCCGAATCAAAGACCTTGCGAGGCTTTGACAGCGGTAACACATAAGATAGGACCCCGAATGGGCCTTACCTTCCTACGGGAACAGGGTATGAGTCCAGGGGCAGGATGCTGGACTCCGACCGAGTGCTCCATGGAGACTTGGATAGCGGTGACAGGTCCTGTATGAATTATTGCAGGGCAATACGAATTATCGCAGGGCGATACAAATTGTATTTTTAAATTATCGCAGGGCGATACAAATTGTATTTTTTGAATTATCGCAGGGCGATACAAATTGTATTTTTAGATTATCGCAGGGCGATACAGATTATATTTTGAATTATCACAGAGCGATTTGAATTGTATTATTAAATACAAACGGGGAAATAAAATATCGCATGGCGATGCAAAAGGGTTTTGACAAAATACAAATGGGCCTATGGGCCGACTATTTGACGATATATACTTATGTATGATTTGAAAGGGGTAACTATGGGTTATTTCCTAGTATTATGATAACACCTATGTTGAGGGTCTTAAGGATTGAAACATTAATTATATGCAGTATAGTTGTCATTGTACTTTTCAAATGCTTCAAAGTACTGACCTCCCCTTCACGGGGGAGGCCACCTCACAGTTTTCAGGTAGAAGCTAGAGCTTGCTTCCTGTACCCGTTGCTTCGGGAGTTCTTGGAGAGAAGACGTGGTTCGTGCTTCCTCCGTTCTGTTTTCAAAACAATTACAATGATGCTCATGGATAATGTTTTCTAATAAATTATTGAGGGCTTGTATGCCCAAGTTTGCCAAGTGTGGCTTGAACACTTGTAATATTGTTTCCGCTGCTTTAATGAATATTTTACATTATGTTTGTTTATGGATGTACTATGTGTGAATGATATTCCAGACGCCTTGTATAGTATGGATGTGTTAGACTGCGGTTGACTATTCATACTGTACGGCGGATTGTTGACGTGTCCGGGTAGGTCCGGGGCGTGACAATTAAGTTGGTATCAGAGCCTTAGTCCGTAAACTTCATAATGAAGCTTCAAAATTTCGTTTTAAAAATGAATTTGAAAACCATGAGCATAAGAAGTTTTGTACTTAAAGAACTTTTGGTATTCGAGTTGCAATGTCTCTAATTGTTAAGATGGCGCCCTTAACAATTGGTATGGCGGTGACTCGACCCATGAGATGTCTTAAGTACCTATCTGTCAATTGACAATTGATACGAGTCTAACGACTCATTCTAAACATTTCTTTCAGAAATGGGAGGTGGAAGCATTTTGAAAAGGATGGACTCGGAATGGGTTGCACCGGGTGGAACCGGGCATGCCAACCGAGAAGAGTCTTTAGTACCAAGAGGTCAAGATACTCTAGGTGCTCAAATTGTGGGTGATTGTCAGGTTGAGACCAAGGACGAGTCGCCTTTTCAAGGTGAAACTGAACCACTCGAGGCTTCGAGTGAGGAAAGCAATGACTACGACGATGATGGCTTTGGCAACAAGTCTATAGAACAAATGGACATGATCATAGATTTGCTTCAACGTGAACGTGTGAGGCTTTTACAGAAACGCCAAGCAAGGCAAGAAAAAGGGGGACCAATGGGAAGGAAAAGGATGCGGGGGGACAATGACTCCCAATGGCATTCTAAGAGAAGGAATAGTGAGGGTGACAAAACCTTCGAGGGACCTGCACCACCACCAAAGTGGAATAATAGCTTTAAAGGTCAAGAAGTGAGGCCTCAGGGCTCTAGGGTCCGGAAATGCGACAATTGCAACAAGTATCACTTTGGAGAGTGCCTCGAACCAAGAAGATGTTATCTTTGTAAGGATAACGGACACATTAAGTTCCATTGCCCTCAACGAATACATGGAAGGGTAATGGAGAAGAAAAACTACGTTGAGAAAAATTATGAATTCCCAAAAGGTTACCCATACTGGGAGGTGGGACATATGAAGGTAACGTGCCCACAACTCGGGCAAAACTCAGGGTCACGAGCCTCGGCGAAACCTAGATGCAGAAACTGCAAGAAAAACCACATGGGTAGGTGTTGGGATCCTCCTAAATGTTACCAATGTGGGGAGGTGGGGCATATGAAGGTAGCATGCCCCCAACTCGGGCGAAAACAAGCCACAAGGGTTGATGGTGGAACCTCGGGAGGCAAAAGCCAAACAAGAACATCTCATCCAAGCACGGGAGATGGAGGGGTTATGAAAGGCAAGTCATCCTTCGTGATCGAGGGAGAAACTCAAGATTCGGTCAATCCAATTGCATCGGTAGATGCTCGGGAAGAAACCCAACCCTATTGAAGGTAATCTTTCATAAACTCTTAATATTAATTCTTATGTAAACAATAGAAGTCTTGGGAGTGTCTAAATTTTATAACCCCGACCAACCGAGCCTGTTGTGGATCAAAAAGGAGGGAAGTATACCAGCCCTGGGCGAACGCCGCCCGACGTTGACGGAAGCCGCCCGGCCCTTGTCTTTGAATTAATTAAAAAATTCTACGGCGCTGAACGTCGGCCGGCATGTGTGCAACCCGGCCGGCATACGGTGATGAGTCCTTGTGGGAAGGAGGTTGGTCGCAAAAGTCGTCCGAGCTTCGATAAAGCCGCCCGGCTTTTGTAATTTAATTTTGGAATAAATCTACGGCGCTGGATACCGGCCGGCTTTCGTTGAAACCGGCCGGCGTTTGTTTTGTGGGCAAAATCCTACGCGGCCGGAAACCGGCCGGCCTTTGTGAAGAGCGGCCGGCGTTTGGGATGTAATTAATGGGAAATTCCACGGCGCTGAAAGCCGCCCGACTATCGTAAACAGCGCCCAGCTTTCGTAGCGACCAGTTCTGAGATGTTGGCCAATGGACGGAGACCGGCCGGCTTTGGTTAAAAGCGGCCGGCTTTCACCTTGTTGTACGCGGCGTTGCTTTTAAGAGCAAGAACTGGTCGGGTCGCGATGGAGCGTGGGACTACTACCATCTACACCCTAGTAGGTGTACCCTACGACTTATGAAACAGGCCTATTGGGTAGGGAATGTACCTTACGTCGATTACAAATGTGGGAACACTAAAGATTGGGAAGAAGACGCGAAAATATTTATCAAGACTAAAGCATAACGATGAATAGTGAATGAGGTTTTTGACGAGGGTAGCAAGCGTACCTTCGATGTTGAGGTTATAAAACGATTTATTCCCACACTATTATAGAACGAATCTAAGACAAGATCTTTATGTGTTTCTTTTGGTATATGGGAGTATGTAGAGAATGCTTAGTGTGATCTCATATCATGACACATGAATGAGCCAAGGACTATCCTTGAAAGGGATTAGACGTAAAAGCATCATGCTAGGGTGACTTCCACGCAAACATGTTGGAAGGTTAATGATAAACTAAGAATCAAATTGTGATCAATATTAGGATACGAATGGTCGGATCAAGCCACTCCCCGGGGAGAGTAGTGGTTCAAATTGCATAAACGGTGGATGAGGAATCCTGGAGTTGTATGATTTCCCAGAAAGGGGAAAGGTCACAATCAAGGGAATATATCCTTATAGGGTATTGATGACGTGATCGACCGCCTAAAGAAGCAATGACATTATCGAAATGGACCTATGACTAGATTGTAGTTCTCTAACATTTGGAGGGGTGACATGCCTAGGAGTGATTTATGCACTCGGTACGGGCACTACATGTAATTGGGGGTGTATTTGTTACTGAAGTACTACTACTTAAAACCATCTCGGAGTGCTGGAAGCCCAAGGAGGTGAACGAGACTAGTACGTAGTTTCATTTGATACGGACGACACTATTAGAAGTTGGTGAATGAGCCCTTTCATGTTGGGATCACCGTTAGCGTGACTTACTCAGGAGGGGTTAAGTTGCAGGGAGGTGACCATTATGAGGATGATTCATGGAATCAATGAAAAGAGTTGTTCAAGCATCAATACTTGTCTTATCCATTCGTGGGTTAGTGTACGGTGTCTAAAATTAGACAAACATCTAAGGGGTAGATGTGAGTTGATTCAATAGGGGAAGATGATTGCACCTGTTTCACTTCCGAGGAAAAAAAAAAGAGGTAAATTTCTCTACTCTTGAATAATGGTAGGGGGCTCTAGTAAGTCATCAAAGAAATGAAAAGATTATCTCTACATGGAGATGTGTCATACATATAATCTGACTATATGAGTTTGAAGTGAGTGTTCACTCCAAAAGAGTTGAGCGCTTGACTGCGGTGATGGATGGGGGGTTGGAAAACTACCATCTAGTGATAAAGTATTGTACATGTATGCCAAATTTTGTAACAAATGCCTTATACAAAAGGACCTGATCGAGCTACTACTGAATAACATAATAACAATTAGTACCCACATAGAAGTGGAGAGCGATTGAGTGGCGAGTTTGGGATGAGAACCATCCTAGCAGTTGAAATCAAAGAGAACTCAGCATATGATGAAATTCTGAGGGAGAGGTGATGGTCTCTTTTTGTTTTGCAGTCAAGATTGTGTAGCGTCAGATGGTGAGCTTTGAAAGATCATTTCAGGGGCTCATTGATTAACGCATGTCATACACTGGTAAGGTTCGTTATGTATGTGATTTTGATGAAGGATATTGTTAGGGTGGATACCTTACTTGCTATTAAGTTAAGGTAGTACACTAACACTTGGGTATGTTGTTACATCCACCTTGTATTCATGAGTGGTAGTAGTAACCATTTATTACAGATTTTGTGTCGCGGCCACCATGATGGTGAAAGGTTATGATGGAGTTTTGGGTCGTGGTTGATGGACTGACAAGAGTACATAGCCACTATCTATAGACACAACCTATCAAACTGAGAAGATAGGCACACTGTAGGTAAGTGAAACCTAGAGATTTCACCGTGTACTTTTGAGTACCGCGCTAACTAGATGAATTGAACATTATTTCATTCATAGAATGATGAACTACATTAATTGTTACACATACTTTGGAAGGGCACGTCGGGTCACGTCCCTTAAATTTTCATGAATGATAATGATGACAATTAAATTGGTATGAGGCCAAACATTAAGCACTCATGGGGCTAGCAACAAGAAAAAAAAAGGGATAGTTATGAGATTAGTATTACATGCCACCATAGAAGCGTTGTATGGATAAAGATGTTAGAAACCCATACACTAAGTCGAGTTTGGGACAACCGATCTCTGACGTACAAGAGTAGTAGAGTCTACTAAGGGAGATGTGACATCGGTTCGGATTTAAACAAAGCTTTGTTTAAAGTAAACGAGAGATTCGTGCCAAGGAAGGACGAAGAACTATAAAGCTGAAATCAAAGGTAGGGTATTTTGAAATTTTAACGCCCTAAGAACTGTCGTATCCTTATAAAAGGGTGAATGAGATCTACACTACATCAAGCTAGCTGAAATTCTAGAAAGAATTGATGCCATATTATACCAACCATGATTGACACCAAAATTTGTCTCGTGTCGTGAAAAAAAAAAAAAACAATAGTACGAAAGTGTGGGAAATGTGAACTGTATTGGACAACCAATAGGGATATTGGATAAACCAGTGAGAAGATTGAGAAGCATAGGGGTTTCCAACGGTTAAGACCTTGGTTATGAAACTGAGTCGAAATGGAGACTCAGGAAATGATGGTTCTAAGAATAAAGCACTACTTCGTATGCGTTCGAGTAGCGGTGTGAATTTCGGGGACGAAATTCCCATTAAGGGGGGGTGAACTTGTGACACCGCACCCGGATGTACTTGAGTTTGAAATTCAATATGTATTTGAATTTTCTATGTGAATATTGATGTGTGCAAGAACGACATATTTAATTAATGAAGGATTAATGAAGTTATTTATCAGGATCATGATACTGAGAGCGGACTACCAAATAATTAGTTGGGTCATCATAATAATTATAGGAGCCCAATAAAATGTCAACTAAGGTTGAGAAAAATGTTTAGGCAACCCAAATATTAATTTGACTCAACCTGCCAAAAATAGCTGGAATAATTGGGAGAACTTCCTACACCCATTTGGGAATTTCCTACACACTTTGTAGAGTCTAAATAAGTCAAATTTAGACAACTTAAGAGAATTGGTGCGGATGAATGATGGAGGAAGCCTCCTAGGGACAAAACATACTCAACATGGCCCCATACTCAAATTATTTTGAGTATTGATTGAGAGGAGATGCCTCACCCTTTCCCATTCATTTCATTCGGCCATATCAAGGGAAGAAGCTCCAGGAAAGTCTTCTCTCACTTAGTCCATGGTTGAAGGAAGCAAGAAGAGAGGAAAGTCCAAGAAGAAAAGCTAGGAGAAGAGGTAAGAACACACCAATATTCTTTTAACTAGTATTATTTTGTATGATTTTTAATAAATTATATGGTGGATTAAACCATGAGTTCTACACATTTAAAAGTGTATTATATCGATATAAAGTGGTGGTATTTAACTTAGAAGAGTCGTGGAATCGATAGGAGTTGAAATCGCCGGAAACCGCCATTGTTGGGGACTGTTTTCGAGCTGCAGGCCCGAAAGCCGCCCACCTTTTGCAAAAGCCGCCCGGCTTTTGTCTGCTGTCCAGAATTTTCACTTTCAATTGGCCTAGAACGGGGATTGATCGAAGGGCTTAGCAAAGGCAACTAGTTGAGCACATCATAAGGTGAGGATGGCTGACTATATTGTTTATAACTAGTGGGTTAATTCATGAGATTACCTAATGTTATAAAAGCATGATTTTAATTAACTAATATGCCAAGTAAAGTGTCAATTGATCATATTGTTGTATATGAAGAGTTGATGCATGATTGATTGGGGTATGAGTAATTGGAGCATGATTACTTGATATGTTTGAGAAGTTGTTCTAGTTGATTTAGTGATGAACTAATAAAATGTTTTTATTAATCACTATTTAATTATATTGATTTTATGGTTAGTAAAGTCAATATAGAATGGAGTGAGAATGAGTTATGGCATGGCCGCCACGTTTGTTTAAAAGGGAAAGAGAATTTGAACTAAGAATAACTCGGGTGATACTAAGTGACTAGTCCGAGGTTATAATATGAACATTTATAAATTAATCCTAAGTTTAGGATTGTGATGCTTCGTCACTAGGGTATTCAATTGGGATAGCCTTAGATGATTTAAATGGTATAATTATCCTAGGATTGGATCGTTGATATTATTATCCGGGTGGTCTTTAGGATACCCGTAATTGATTGTTTGATTGGTAGCAAGGGTCATGGCTCGGCTCTAGTCTAAGGATAGATGCCCGACCCCATGAACTTGCTAATACAGATAGATGAGGGTCATGGGTCGGACGAGTCTGAGGATCGTGCCGGACTGCATGGGCCCACAATAGGATAGATGTAAGGACCATGGCCCTACTTGGCTCTAGAGAGCGAGATGGATAGCATGGACTTACAGCGTGATCACGTATAAGGGTGGAATCCGAATCAAAGACCTTGCGAGGCTTTGACAGCGGTAACACATAAGATAGGACCCCGAATGGGCCTTACCTTCCTACGGGAACAGGGTATGAGTCCAGGGGCAGGATGCTGGACTCCGACCGAGTGCTCCATGGAGACTTGGATAGCGGTGACAGGTCCTGTATGAATTATTGCAGGGCAATACGAATTATCGCAGGGCGATACAAATTGTATTTTTAAATTATCGCAGGGCGATACAAATTGTATTTTTTGAATTATCGCAGGGCGATACAAATTGTATTTTTAGATTATCGCAGGGCGATACAGATTATATTTTGAATTATCACAGAGCGATTTGAATTGTATTATTAAATACAAACGGGGAAATAAAATATCGCATGGCGATGCAAAAGGGTTTTGACAAAATACAAATGGGCCTATGGGCCGACTATTTGACGATATATACTTATGTATGATTTGAAAGGGGTAACTATGGGTTATTTCCTAGTATTATGATAACACCTATGTTGAGGGTCTTAAGGATTGAAACATTAATTATATGCAGTATAGTTGTCATTGTACTTTTCAAATGCTTCAAAGTACTGACCTCCCCTTCACGGGGGAGGCCACCTCACAGTTTTCAGGTAGAAGCTAGAGCTTGCTTCCTGTACCCGTTGCTTCGGGAGTTCTTGGAGAGAAGACGTGGTTCGTGCTTCCTCCGTTCTGTTTTCAAAACAATTACAATGATGCTCATGGATAATGTTTTCTAATAAATTATTGAGGGCTTGTATGCCCAAGTTTGCCAAGTGTGGCTTGAACACTTGTAATATTGTTTCCGCTGCTTTAATGAATATTTTACATTATGTTTGTTTATGGATGTACTATGTGTGAATGATATTCCAGACGCCTTGTATAGTATGGATGTGTTAGACTGCGGTTGACTATTCATACTGTACGGCGGATTGTTGACGTGTCCGGGTAGGTCCGGGGCGTGACACTCATGGTTTGAGAATAAGCAGGGGCGGCCCTGTATGTTCGAAGGCCTAGGGGCGAAAAATTAAAATGAGCCTAATATTACAAAAAATTGTAGAACTCTTTTCTATCTAAATTGACATGCATAATAAAAATTTAGGAATGAAACAATGGTAATCCTAATTGTACATTTTACCAATGTTTAAGTCATATCTAAGGAAATAACTCTATTATTATCACCTCCATAATCCCCTCTATTTCTAAGCATTCTGAGCCGTTCCACTTTTAGTAGCTAAGTTATTGTTCCTGTATGAGTTCTCATCTTGAAGAAGACATTCAGAATTTGACTTGTTTACACAAATAAACTTTTCCATTAAACTTTTATTTATCTTATTCAGATTCGATCCTTTTTATTACACCTTGAAATTAATTAAATTTATAACATTTATCATAATTGGAAATGTTTGTCTAACAAAATCAACAATTTATAACACCAACACTGAGCACAAAACAATCAACAATTAAGAAATCAAACCAACTATGAATAGAATCAATTAATAAACTAATCAAATAATCATATGAGACTAATCTGATTTCGATTGATTTTTTATGAAATTTTAATCGAATGTTTTTCATCAAGTGTAGATTATGTCCATAAAATTTCAACTTAAAATTCAACCGTGAAGTCAGTTAAATAAATTACTGAAAAACAATGCACCAAAATATGTATACAAACTCAGTGTTTTACAATTATTTATTTAACTGACATCTAAATTGAACTTTAAATTGATTTTTTTAATTAATCTACGCTTCATAGAGAACATGATCAGAAGTTTTCACAAAAACAAAAATCTATTTCGAAAAACTTCAACAAATTCCACCTGAAAATTTGTTACTGTAGCGTGGGAAAATGAACCTACTCACACCTAATACAAAGAACTAAACTTGGACCTATTTTTTATCCATTTTTTTTGGGCCTAGGGCGCCCGCCCCACTTACACCCCCCTAGGGCCGCCCCTGAGAATAAGTATAAGATTAAAATGGACTGGATAGCTAGATAAAACTCTGGGTGAAACGTTTAAAAAACATTAAAAAAACATATTCAAAATATATTTTATTAGTAAAATAAAAAATCATATGAAAAAAAAGAGTTAAAAGGGTACTCTAACTAATTCAGCAAAAGAATAACTGCAATCTTAGAGTCTTTACGTATTTGATTGTTAAACAATTCAACTCGTGAAGCTAAGAGTTGTGTTTTATAAAAATTATTTTAATTTTAATACTTTTTTTAATTGCTAACACCCAAGACCGAATTTATCAATATACCTCTACCTCTTTAAGCATTGAGATAATTCGTATATCACTGAAAAAGTGTAATGGAACTTCAAATCTAACTCTATATAAAAAGAAGTGGGATTTCAGGCAACTTTGCCGCCCAAAGTACCGGGTTAGATGTGTGTCGGCGTATATGGGCAAACGGATCTCTCTGTTGCACTGATGTAAAAGTACAGTCATTTATTACTGATGAAAAGCTAATAAATGCAAAGCCCGCAAGTTGGGTTAGAAGATTTGTTTTTTAAAACATGTATACTACGCCGCTTAGCTAGGTCGTCCAGTAGCTGAGTAGTATTTAATGCATGGGCATTGTCTAATCACATACGGAGTACTTTTTTTTACATTGACACGTGAAGCTATGAGGTGCAAGATATTGTTCAATGGATAAAACACACAAAAGTTGAATAACCCCAATGCAAATCCACTATAAATATGGTCTATGGATGACTTCGAAGTTCGAACCAGCAAGATCACAGAGCAAAAACAACTATAGCAGTCATTCAACATCCGCATGGCTCTTAGCCTCTTACAGTCTGAGAGTGTTACCAGAAATAAATGAGATGCCATCAATCTTGCTTGAAGAACCAAAGTAAGGCTTTGTTTTTTAAAATTACTACATATTCAAGGTGCAAGCCATTTCATGTCACTATTTTTTGGTTCTATTTCAGGAAGGAGTCTATTGGAAATTCGGGAAGGGTGGTCCCTGAGAGGCTGAGACGGAAAACAGTGTATAGTTTTGTGAAAACACAACGCTAGATAAAAAAACTAATTATATACCGTCCATATACGCTGGGAACCGGTTTGGATTCTTCTTTGCCACATACTGTCCACACCAAGTTCGCGGGCTAAGAAATAAACATAAAGAAACAGAAGAATTGAAGAAACGTATCTGGAATCGAACATGATAGAGTAACGGCCTGTGTTTTTATTTTCCAAAGGAAAGCAGTATATATGAACATTACCTGAGCTGAAAAGAAAGAATAAAAAAGGAGAATGGTGAAATTTGAGATTCAAGAAGAAAATTTATACAGTACTTGGTATATTAACGACGGGTGGGTGTTGAAACTTGGAGTCCAAATATGGGACATGGGGATAAGAGTTATATTAACTCAGTCCCTTAAAACTTTGCCATGTTTGACCAACACAGGATTAATAAAGTAACAACTGTGTGATTGAGGTTTGTGCAGAGGAGAAAGAATTAACTGGAACCACAAATTCTTTACTTAAAAGAGAAAGTAGCAAAGTTAGTGGACATCCAAAAAAGGAAATTTAAAGTTTTTAAGGTGACTAATTGGGATGCGTGAGGGAAGATGAAAAGATGATAGCGTTGGAATTGGGGAATTACGAACAGAGATTTTTTTTTGAAAGAAATTACGAACTGAGATGAAGCAAACAGATTGGGAATGTTTGGACTTTGAAATAGGGAAGAAGAAACGATAACAGCATAGTACGCAAATATGAATACGAAGTACTCCGTAATTGATATTGCAATTCTCGAGTCCTTCTACGTGTCACCCTCTCATCCCATTTTTACAACACAGACAAAAATAAGAAAAATAAATACTTTTAATATTGTTAAAATCATACACAATTTTTGAAGTCGAAGTTAACACATGTTTCACAATTTAATGGAGTGTTTATATGATACTCCGTACATGGTTAAACTGTCGTTTCAAAAGAAGAATTAAAGTCCAATACGAATGCATTAAGAGACCGTTTGGTAACACAGTTTTTCGGCTTATCAGCCATATTTTTCACTAAACATGTAACTTTTGCTTTCACACGCTAAATTGTGTAATAAATAGAAAAAGTAAAGTTGGAGTTACTTTTTTAATTGTATTGGCTGATGTTACTGTATATTTCTTAAATCAGCAGAATCAGTCAATACATCCACTTCAGCCAGAACTTCATAAATTTTAGTAGAATTAGCCAAAAGGCGAGAGAAAAGTATATTGCTTGATGATTCTTTAGTTATCCCTCAATCATTGTAGAGTTCTTTAACAAAGTAATGTCTGATAAAAAATTTACGAAGTACTAAATTAGTGTTGGCTTAATTATTCCCTAAAATATTGCTTCAATGTTTTGTACAATACACCATTCCCATAAACAACAATACAGCAATTATGTGGTTACACTAAGTTTAAAGTCTCTGCTTTCTTTAAAGCGGTATAACTTTTTTGTTTATACTACAATGGTTACAAAAAATATATCAAAATTCATTATTCACTATCTTTCATATGACACCAACGTTGCATATATACAAATAAAAATCATTAAACACTTCAAAAGATTTTAGTTTTAGTTTTTTATAGTGTTGTTGTACGGAACTATTGTATTATTACACAGAACTACGGAGTACATGACATTTGTCAAAACTGGGGTTTAATGCACCAAACCCCTCTGTGATTTGGAAATTCGGCGCATTAGCCCCTGTGATTTAAAAAATGCGTCAAACCCCCCTGTGTTTTAATTAATCATGCGCCAAATCCCTTATGTGAATAAATTCAATTGTCAAATAAAAGAAAAATGATTAACATTTTTGTATGATTCAGAGATTTTGACATATTTATTTGCATATTCAATCAAAATATTAGGAAAAGTGATTTTCAAATCGTTAAATTTATTCATAAAGGGGATTCTGTGCATGATTAATTAAAACACAAGGGGGTTTGACGCATTTTTTAAATCACAGGGGACTAATGCGCCGAATTTCCAAATCACAGGGGGGTTTGGTGCATTAAACCCGTCAAAACTGCCACTTCAAGTGGCGATTTTCTTAACCCCAATTTGTGCCAGCACTATTTTGGGAAATACTTTTAACTCAATACTAATTTAGTAATTATTTTTTATCTGACATTATTTTGTGAAAAAACTCTATCACCATAACCGAATCATCAAATAAAATAACATTGACATGGGAAAAGTAGTTTATTAGGTCTTTACTTTTTTTTTTAAAGATATTAGGTCTTTACTTGAGAAGACAAATTAGATGAAAATGAATGATGGTCTACAGGTGGATTTATAAAAACACAAATCTACCCAATCCAAAATGATACTATCTTCATTCTTAAAAAGTTGTAACATTGGAATATTTACACTGTTCACGTGCTTTACTTTGATGCATTAAACATTAAAATTTTCAAAAATATATTTAAATTATTCTCATTTTAAAATTTCAAATATGCTTTTTTCAAACAATTTTACAATTAGAGAATTAAATATATTAATGGTCAAAATTGTACATTAACAAAGGTGAAAATGGAAGTGTTACAATGTAAAAAGAACAAATGAAGTAATTATTACTATATTTATAATTGCTATTATTATTATTATTATTATTTTATTTTTATTATTATTATTGTATAAATCCTTGATGTCATTTTTATTGTTGATATAAAAAATAATTTATATGATTTTATTATATATTGTCCCGTGCATCGCACGGGTGAAAATCTAGTTTTGTAAGAATGCGAACACCCCAAAAACAATGAAGTGACTAAGTGGGTATGTAAATACATTACATTTATGAAGCAA